ACTCCGCGATGGGTGGTACTTTCATCGAGTTGACGTTCAGAGCACAGGGCAGTAAGTCGCATCGCGTCAACACCACATTGAGCCTATCGCATTACGTATCTTATAATTAGACACTCAGATTCCCGTGGGCAGTACCAGTTCTAGGTGAGTGGTTGAACGTGCGCCGAAGATTCCCCGCAAGCCAAGCCAAGGCCACCCACTCACAGCCTGTGAGCACAGTAATCTCCCGAAAACAATCCCGGAGGTGGACACTCAAGGGAGGACCCAGGCAATGTGTCAACGCATTGCCTGGGTCCTCCCTTGAGTGGTGTGGCTGTGGTGGTGGTGGTGGTGGAGGAGGAGGAGGAGGAGGAGGAGGAGGAGGAGAGGGGTGGTGGTGGTGGTGGTGGTGGTGTTGAAGTCCGTTGGTTTGAACAGGTTCGGGCAATAGCAAAAATGCCCAAACCGCAGACCAAACCAAACCTGAACCTAGGGTTCGGTTTGGTGGTTCTCAGTTTTGAACTGTTAGCCCAACCTGAACTTTGGCATCCCTAATTATAAGTGGGGATTGAAGATCAGACGATGCTCAAAAAGGTTTGTCTACTTTTCCTGCATTTGTCATTCTACTAATTTTCACATAAGGGAAGTATGATGACAATCTGGTGTTGGAAGGTGATTTCCATACATAGACACTTACAGTATGATACAGCAGCACAGCCACTTAGTTGGCCACAGATGTCTGCTTTAGGTAGTTGAATGACAAGCTCTCGATGTTGATGTCTCACATATGCTAGCTAGTAGCATCTCATATTTCAAAATCTGGATGATGTTATCAACAAGATAAATGAACAAGATCTGGCAGGGATCTTGCAGCACTGGCCTCCACTTTGAGCTCATTTGGAAGCACTATCCAGTGGAGGGTGTAGCAATAAAGTACAGTGAGGCCATCAGGTTTGGTCCAGTTTGGCCATAATTGCAGGTTTGGTTTGGGGTTCAGACAAAAGTGTCTGAGAACCAAATCAAACCAAAATTTACAATCCCTAGTATGCTGAGCAAGCCAAGCTGTTACTCAAGGGAGCTACAACAAAAACACTGGTATATAGAAGCAGCAGTTAGTGTGGAACCCCTGTGTTGTTTGCATAGTTCTACTTCATCTTCATTTTCCTCTGACCGGTGTCATGCACCAAAGTTGATTGGTAGCATGGACAGGTGTTAATAACAAAGCAAATATTTGAAAGTCTCGCCTTTGCACCACACAGGCACAGTGCCATATGGGATAGTAATCAATATCATCTTTTTTGAATTTGTGGCTGATCAGCACCCACCTGTATTAGGCAATCAAGTCATGCTCACCTTTGCTTTCCATTCAGTACTTTCCATGTTTTAGCATTTCAGCAATTTTACACATCGCCACTGGCTACACATTGCATTGTGCCCTCACTTTTGTCATTTCCCTTACTCCCCTTCCTTTGCCTAGCCCCACCATGAGCCCTTTACTGTCTTTTTTATTCTCACCGGATGGCTGTTTCTGGATCCTCATCATCAGGAAAAATGGGGGTAGAGCTCTATAGCACTATAAGTACTCATAAAGCTGTTATAGTGGTCAAACCTGCTATAAAACCTCTGCCATCTATGGAGCCTCATATAGCTCTATAAATGGCCTTATAGATGTTGGAAATTATTGTGTGGCTGATAAAAAAATATTAACACAGACAGGACTTGAACTCTCAATCTGCTAGTCAGCTTTTGGTTGACTAAGCAACCTATAGCCACACATCACACATTTATCTGTGAGGCAACAATAAACTATGACAAAAACAATACCCGTCTCCGACTGCACTTGCAGGGAGTAAGAGGTACAGTGAGCTTGAGGTCAACAGATACTAGTAAAGATAGCAAGTAGAGGACTTGGAGTAGACTCAGAGGTTTCTGATGAGGAGTAAAGCGGGTAATTCAAGTAATAGAAAGCTAAAGAACTATACATGAGTGTGTAGGGTTTTTATAGCTAACCGTCTATCCCTCAGACCGAAAGAGGAATAAGAGAAAAGTGGTCTGAGGGGAAAACCAACCAATAAGAAAAAAGGATAACTGTCGTACGACTTTGAAGATTAATCAGCAGGTGAGAAAATATACTAATAATAAGTGTTGTCACGCATGTTCAGGAACCATATCCTCATGATGAGGTGCGTTCCTGACTAAAATGTCTATTAATACCTCCAGGCACTGATGGGGTTTAGAGCTGGTTGGTGAGATGTTTACCACCAGTCCTTACCCATTGTGCTGGCTGGCTGGGAGTGATACCTAGTCTCTGATCTGCGATACAAAGTGGTAACAATAATTAAGAAAGCCTGTAAGGGCTATTGGAAGCAGGATAGCAAAAAATACCTCTAGCCCTAGAGCCAGCATCAGGAAAAACCTAGTTGCCTTTTATAGCTATCATAGCCTCCATAGTGCTATATAGGGAAAATAGTAGCTATAGTACGCCTAGACAAGTCCCTATTATATAGCTCTATATAGCAGCACTATTTTGAGCCGTTTGCTATGCCTGCTATAGTAGCACATTTGTGATATACATTGTTGCCTTTACTATGGCTGCTTTCATAGGGTATAAGAGATATCATAATTCTGGATTCTTGTTTCAAATCAATCATACTAAATTTACTTTTACTATAGCATATAGCAAACTGTCAGAATTTATTCCTAATACTGTTGTATGACATGCATAGAGTAAACTACTGTAATGAAGTGAACCTTCACAAACTAGAAAATTCTCTCAACTTCCTGTTTGGTCTCAAGATACTTATTCACTATAGACGACATTCAATATTATTGTATAAATACACTTTGACAATACTCACAGAATTTCATGAATAACTTGATAAGTTTTTTTTATAGTTTGTCAAGCCTTGATGGATAGTGCAAGCATCTGGTAAATGATTATAAGTATAGGTATAGATATAAATGGAGGGACGTACTTTGGCTTGTTAACCTATTCACACCTATTCAGAAAAAGATAAGGTGGTCAAACACACTTTGGAGTAGTTGTAACATACCTTAGTGATAATTGAAGCAATAGTGTATGCTGCCACTACCAGCTGATGATGTAGTGGTGGGATATGTTGGGTATTGATATGGCACTGGTGCCAGTGGCCACTGTGAATAGAGCAGAGCTAATTTCAGTACCTTACAAGATAGTTATTTAAAAAAAGCTATACCTAGAGCTAACAGCATACTTAACAAGTATGCTATTAGCTCAATGTTATTGCAACTTAAAAGGAAAAAAGGATGTGCAGGACTCTGAAGCGCAATAGTGTGCCATTGTGATGTGACATGTAACATCACACTAGTGCCATGTATGTATTAAGAGCTGACTCTGAAAAAAATGTGGCACTCAAATCTAATCTAATCCTGAGAAGTATGTGAAGACAGTGTCACTGTCCATTTTCACACACTCAATTATAGTGTTCAAAGTCAACTGTTGGAAAATTTGCTTTGGTGCCACATATTCAAACTCCGCTTAAATTCATCCATGTGTGTCAAGCAAGACACTTCAACTTTGATGCAATATCAATAGTGTTCTCTAGTACCTGTACAATGAATATTTTGGATATTTGTGATAGATTTTTTTAATAAAACCATTAGGCTAAATTACCTACATACCAAACCATTGTATGAATAATAGGGACATTCTCATCGGCACCGGAAAAATGTCTCATAGACTATTATAGCTTCTATAGCTGCTATAGCACATATAGCTTAGACCTTGTATGTTACTATACACATATAGTTAAAAACAGGCAGGAAGGTTTATGTGAAGCAGATATAGATAAGGGGATAGGCCCCAGTGCATGCACCAGGTGGGGGAACAAAGGGCCCCACTTCATACTTTTGAGAGTATATTGGTTGGTCAGAAGTCAGATCTGTCTGTGATGCAAACACCATTTCTCCGGCCAATAAAGAATTAAAGCTATCAAGTTGGTCTATCAGGAGGGAGTGGGACATAAAGTTGATTTCAGGGTTGGATACCGGATGGGGACAATATCAAGGAGGTAGGAAAGGCTGATTGGCCTCACTATCCAGCTGTGGGGCCAACAGAAGCCCACTGGTATTCAAATTTGAGTTTTTTTTTGGGTTTTGCCGGTTGCTAATCAAATAAATTGAAACAATAGATCAGCTTGCCCTTGAATAGAGAGATGGTACTGACTTACCTTTTTTTGGGGGATCTTCTCCTTGGCTCAACTATCCTCTCTATCCCAGAACTTCGAATATGACCACAGGGATGACCACCACCACAGCCTTGTTCTCTAGTCCATCCCTTACTCATGTTCCTTTCACAATTGTTTGAGTTACTGTAGTTCAGATTGTGACCTCAATTCCAAGATTAAGTTATCATGTGCTGTGCTAAATACTAATCAAGTTGAAACTTATCTGTATCTCCAATATCAAGCTGGAACTCAAACATTGACATGACAGTAGTAAAGAAGGAAATGATGGGCTGGCCATTTATATTTGGGTCAAGTGCCTCAAGGCACTTCTTGTGTTCATACAAACTTACATAATTACAAAATGCACATATAATGGTGTATAAACAACTGAAAACCAACCAAAAGCTTCCAAGTTCCTGAAAGACAATAAAAATTCCTTATTCCTGTTATAAAGGTTAATGTGTATGCTAAAGGATTAGAGCATATAAATAACAGACCATAAGAACATTGTCAGAATTGGACACCTCAGTGCACTTATTATCCACTGGATTAGAATAACTTATCCCATGTTCATCTATAAACTCCTTCATTGATCCTACCTCCCTATCCACTTTTGAGAGGGTTTCATGGCTGCTAGTTAAGATATTCTTATGAAGACTAATCATGAGATATGTGAAGCAACATAGCATTTATTTGACTCAATGAAATACTGTCTTTGAAGTCCAAAAGTAAGCCAAAGTTGGAGATAGTAGCATCAGGAAAACCCCAGATAGCTATTATAGCCCTTATAGATCTACAAGGGCTTTGATAGTTGGTATAGCTGATATAGTTGGTGTAGACAAGTTCCTATTGTACCAGCTCTGATAGCTGCCTAGCAAAAAATCTGCCAGCTGTGGGAATTGAACCCACAACCACATATTAACCATTTTTTAAGCTTACCAAGCATATGCATACCAGAGCACTTATCCACTACACCATGTAGGCTTCCACAAATAATATACCATATACTATATATAATCACTTTTTGGACTTAGTGAAATTTTTGATAAGTTGTTGGTGTAAGCTGTCTTGTATCTATGGACTTTGAAATATGCAGCTACCTGATAAAGTACTTCCTATAGCACAACTAAGTAATATTCTGACAATTATTCTGATACTTATTTTGACTGGTTTAAAGATGCTTTTGTCAATTTCTTTTGACTATTTTCACAACTATTAGTAAACTATGAGAGTGGTCATAGATAGAGTCCAGCTATATAGCATTATAGGCAGCTATGAAAGAAACCATAGATATATTACCTGGTAATCAGATAATAAGTAACATTTTTGATGTTGGAATCACTTTTATTAAATAATTGGACTTACACATAAAATTTCTGGAGTATACAGTAAACAATTAACATTTTAGTAAATTACTGACCTACAACTGCTATAGCTCAAAATCAACTCTCATAGCTCATATAGCCTTACTACTATACCTGTAAAGCTCACTATTAACTTCTATAGCCGGTATATCCGGTATAGCTGGTGCTATAGTTGCATATAGTATTTCAAAGCCCAGATGACGCTGTTATAGCTGGTATAGTAACCTGCCTAGCTATATAGCTATATGGTTTTTCCTGATGCTAGCAGGCACTTCATTCTTGTGGTCAGAGAAGTTAACAGCAAATTCACTACAAAAGAGATCTGGGATGCTTTCACAGGATAACATGATGAGTTTGAGACAAAGACTGTAGTCAGAGTTTGAAGGACTTGCATCATTTTCATCTGTGCTACACTGACAGGTGAGCAGGTCAGTCAGTACTAGGATATTGACAAGTATTTTACTAGATTTAATTGTAGGGGTTATTGGTGCATCTGACAAGACAACGGTTACTTGAGGAACAGGCGGCATAGATATGCACCCGACATTCCTAATGCTGGCAAATATCTCTTCAGAAATGCATATGAAGGCAACATCACACACTTGGCTATGTACAGCTTTCCTCCCCATTCCAATATTTTTAGACTGTCAAACTGAGCATCAAAACATTCTCTCTGTTTGCATCTGGCATACATGTATGGATATCATTACAAAGAACCTCAAAGCCTCAACCACAACAGGTGTTTGTATATCTGATCCTAATGGTGTGGCTTGTCAAGCATAAACAACTCTTGTAGCTTGGGTTGTAGACTTGCTGGAGCAGCAAATGATTGCTTGCACAATGAAAAACATATCTCTCATATCTTGCACATACTTGAACAAATTTGGTGATAATTGACCACATTGACCATGGTTGGGTATTGACACACTATTGGCCTTAAATAGCTTACAATACAATACTTGGGACTTTGCTAACTATCTACTTATTGCAAAGGCCCTCAGTCTCGGTGGTGGTCACCAACTATTTTGGAGGGGTTGGCCTCTGGCTGATCCTCATAAATTCCTTGTTCCCAAGATTCTACACACCTATCACAAATTCTTTTCTGATTATGTGCTGTTGTGGTGCAAATAAGAAGAAGGGAAGGATGGGTTAGATGTACACTACAGGAGTTTACATGCACAAGTGGGGTTTAGGCATTTTGGGAATGGCATTTCACACATTAGGCAAATGACAGGTTGCAAATATTGTGAAATCCAAAAAATGATTGCTGCAACAGCTGCTGGTGCAGTGCCTCCCACTTTCCTATAAGCTGTACGAGCATTAGTTGATTTCATGTATTAAGCCCTATCCCCTGTTTATACCCCAACATCTATTACAGCCATGATTGCCTCCCTAGCTGAGTTTCACAATAATGAGCACGCCATATTAGATTCCAAGGCTCGTCGCAGCACCTTGTCAACCATTGAGCATTTCAATATTCCAAAGCTCCAGCTACTACAGCACTTTGCTCAAGCGGTTCAGAATATGGGAACCCCTATCCCTATGCAATTCACAGCTGATGTGACTGAACATCTTTTTGTTACTCATTGCAAGCCTTTGTTCAGCGGTACCAATACCCGGCTCTACTTTGAGATGCAGTGCGTTCAAATAGAGCTTTTTAACTACCTGAAAAAGCAAGAATGTTTCACTTGTTTGCAGTCTTGCAGCACCAAAATGCTTCTCTTATAAACTATCTAGTGGCCAAAGAAAGCTCTCTTTTAGCTGAGGTGGACCCTGAATCAATTTGGCTGTTGCACACTCTGCCTGATAAAATCTTCAGTGTTCAACCCATGCATAACCCCTTCCTAAAAGGAGTCAAGTCTGTGAACACAAAGACGGCTTTTCATCTCAACAAGACACCAGAGATCAAGTCCATCTCAATTAAGGATGCTGCTGAGTGTTTTTTGTTAGGGGACCTACCAGCAGCCTTGGCCAATTATGCTTGAGGTTTTCAGCATGGGTGCAGGATTTCAGGACCGGACGGCTACCAGGATTTACCATTCACGCACATCCAAGTGTGGTATAACAGCAAGATACAGCTACACTTGATATTTTGTACTTTTTTCTTGAAGCTGCTCCAATCATGCAAGTTTGCATTATATTCCAGGTGACTGCGCCAAAGAAAGCCACCCTTGCTCAGCACCTTTTGCCAGTTCTTGTATACGCACAAAATTTTGCATTTCCAGGAGGGCCGAGAGATGCTAATGGGAGTGTTATGGTCAAAGAGAATGTCAATATGTACATTGTTGAACAGTTATTTCAAAACAGGACAACAGCCAGCAGGGGAAGGCTTCACATGGGTAACATCACATCTACCAGTAGATCTCATACTCGTTTTTGGCCCGGTCATGCATTATAATATCACCTCCAACAATGCTCTCTAGCTCCTGATAATGTTTTACATCAATAACCTCTCAGATAAGGAAACTTACAATACATTCTTGACAGAATTCACTGATTGGTTTATCTGTTATTGCTGTCCACCCTGTAGTATTGTACTAGTAGTAGGAATACAATCTCTGTGTATCTATCATATCTACTGGGCAATCTATATCTTATCATGCAAATAAAATCATATCTCTATTATAGCGCAAACATCTGGTAATCTGCGTCTCAAATACTCAGATGTTTGGATATATAAGGCAATCCCAACTCTGTCCACCAATCAGAGTTAGGGATGCCAAAATTTGGTTAGGTTTGGTTCTCGGACACTTTGGTCTGAACCCCGCACCAAACCTACAGTCTAAGTGCCTGAACCTCAGTTTAAACCTTGAAACAATTAATGCCCCATGTACTTACTATATATGGCAAGTATATGGGGACAGGGGATAATACCAGAGGTGGACACTCAAGGGAGGGCCTAAACAATGTGTTGATGTGTTGCCTGGGTCCTCTATGGCAACAAGGCAACGGTGATGTGAGGAGGTGGTGGGGTACAGAGGTGGTGGTGGTGGTGGTGGTTTTGAAGTTCGTCGGTTCAAACAGGTTCAAACTGGGTCCAGGCAATAGCAAAAATGCCTGGACTGCGGACCAATTCTTGATTCTGAACTATTTTCCTGAACCAAACTTTGGCATCCCTAATCAGAATTGTTGACGCCAGAACCCTTGCATTTTGAAATGGGGTTAGCCCTAAGCATATTTTGGTGCACATTTTACAGATGTATGTGAACAAATTTGGCCAAAAATGGCAATCCCAAGTAAAAAGAGGACAAATTTTCAGTGAACTTGTGTGGACAGATTGACCAAAAACCCAGATCCGCAATGTTGGATATGACATCTGAATACATACAGTATTCCACCAGCACTTGTTCCAACAATTTTTGAATGTCTCACATTACATAGCATCACAAATTTTTGTAGATCAGATACTTTGTATGGCATTATATATACTTCAACAATCTTGAACAAAATTTTGATCTACATCAGAAGTGTTGTGTGTTGTAGAACAGAAATCTGAGTTTGAGGTTTTATCGCACACACACCTGCACTTGCGCCAGCACCAAAAATAATATATCAGCAAGACCTATGTTATCATTCCATAATAATCAACTGATAATCCTAATCAGTCATCTTCTGCACTCCCACCATCGTCTGAACCAACTTCTCCTCTCCTCCTCTGGCTTTTGCTGTTCCTCCTGGTATGTATTGACTGCATCAGCAAGGGCAGCCTCTTGATGCTCTGATAGAACTTGCTTCTTCTTGGTCTGAGATTTTGCATGGCCTGTCATTTTCTGTCCAAACATGAGCTGTATGAAGTTTTTGACCATCTCCATTAGTGTACACTGCCACTTCATATCATTGTAGCCTATTTAGTTATATCTACCTTTGTTGATTAGATAGTGATAAGACCATGAAAATCACTCTCCACCAGCATACCTCTGACAGGAGTGAAACATAGTCGCCAAGTATATTTAAATGATGGACACATAGCTGGAGGTTATCTATACTTCATGTATGATTTTCAAGGGTTCACACAAATGTTTCAACTGGTTAGCAATGAACTGGTCACAAAAAAGTAATATTTCATGATCAGACAAAAAACAAGTCCAATTTGAGATTGCGGAATGCAAACATAATAACTGTCTATAGGTACATAGATAGGCCTCTTATCCGTTTGTTTGAGACCTTGTGGGGGACCCGTGGTGTGAAATTCGAGCGCTGCAACGCGTTGGCGCAACTGTCGGTGGAATACTGTATGCCTATGCCAGGGTCCTGGTAAAGCTTGACAACATGATAGTTGGGATCACCGTAACTCTGCAATGCAGATGGGTTTATATACAGTGGAATTGGTGAGAAGAACATTGACAGTATACCATGAAGATTGTGGGAATGCTGATCGACAATGGTCTGCAAGACTGCAGATACAAATTAAAGTGTCAAGTCAAAGAACCCTGGGGTCTGCAACCCATAGATCGCGGGACCTGAGGAACATGCGTGGGTTGTGGCCTGCCAAACGAATGCAGTGCAGGTTTCCAATGTTCCGACACTAAAAACTGCCGCTGAATCACAGAAAGCACTAGCCGCAATTTGTCATGTTAAACGCCTGGTGGACACAAGAACAGATAGCGAAGGAATGCGCTGGTCAATATTGACAGGCTTTTGACATCGGTCTGGTTTGAAAAAGATCGTCGCCAGAGCTATCAAACAAACCACAGCCGTTCTCCATGGGCGGCCATGACTGCGAGATTTGAGTAAGATTGAGGTGGACCTGATGGCAATAAATGTTTTATATAAAGAGGGTGGCAATAAGGGCAAAAGAAACACAGCCTGTAGTCCAAGTATAGCATTGTAAAGACAAATGCTGCCGTGCTGTTACAAAAGCACCTTTAGATTGCAACACATAAGTACGAATCCAAATGTCTCTGCCTAGCTTGCCTCCTCATCCTCACCAGCAGTCCCGTCAGTACCACCATCAACACCAGAACCCGCCTCCAGTACCGCCCCTTCCTCCCAACTTTGTTGTGCAGCCAGATCAGCCGCATCCTTACGAATCGCAACCCCATTTCTCTCAGCCTTTGGCAGCACCCCGGCCTCAAAAACTCGACCCCGATCTTCCCGCCAACGTACGTGTAAGGAACGTTTCCTGATATTTCACCTTTTCACATATTATTTTCGTCTATTACTTAACCAGATGGCCCGCACTTTAGACGACAACCTAGGTCACCGCGTCCCAATGAATCAGTCACCAGGTTTTGCATACCCTGTCCCTTCTTCCACTCCCCGTCCTCCCCAGCAAAACGAGTGGTCACCTTGGAACCCTGCCTCTTCTCCAGGTCCAAACCCAGGTTATCCACAGCAGCCTTATCCACCGCAGCCTCATCCACAGTCAATGTCTGCTCTGCCGCCACAGCCAAACGGCACCAATGCCCTTCCCTCACTCACAGCACCGCTTCCATCCACACAGACCCTCTCAGGCGCTCTTCCTACCATCCAACATCCATCTCACGATCCCGCACTCAAAGTTGCCTGGGCTCGAGACGTCCTCTTCTTGGTAGACCGATCCCAGCAGAACAGCTCCTCGTCTGACGTACAGGTAGGGCCGGTGCAGATTGCAGACCCACAGCTGCTGCGGCTTGCACAAGTGGCAGTGCCTTTGGTCCTTCAGATCGCATCCTCAGCTCAGCAAGGATCGCCATCATCGTTGCCACCTCACGTCGCAGAGGCTGTGTACCTTCGCGCGACCCTTGCTGCGTCTGGAGGGTTCCCCGACTTCTTACAACACAACCCACGGTCCGCATTCCGCGACTTTGAGCAGGCCGCCCGTGGTGGCTACAGTACAGCATGGTTCAGACTGGGAAGAGATTACGAGAACTTCAACGATGGTATTCATGCGCGGGACTGCTTCGAGCGTGGTGTCAAACAGAATGTGGAGAGTTGTGTATATGTAAGTGCGATGTCTCAATGGGTCCTTCGTCTCTGACAGGAATTGCTTACGGCAGAGAATGGGAATGGCCCATCTAATGGGACAACTTGGATTGCAGGCGCAACCTGAAGCAGCAATTCCACTCCTGCATCGTGCAGCAACGCTGGCGACGGTTCAAGTACCACAACCAGCATACGTCTATGGCCTGCTCCTTTTAGGCGAATTTTCTCATATCACTGTTCCACCACAGCTCTTTGCAGCTTTTGTGCCGCGAGGGTCATCTCCAGCACAGGAGGCCCGAAAGCACTTGGAACGAGCAGCATACTTGAACTTTGCACCGGCGCAGTACAAGTTGGGGCATGCATACGAGTTCGCCCAAGCACCATTTCCCTTTGATGCATTATTAAGTGTGCAATACTATTCATTGGCATCGCAGCAGGGGGAGATCGAAGCAGATATGGCCCTCAGTAAATGGTTCTTATGTGGAGCAGAGGGGAGTTTCGAAAAAGACGAGGCTCTTGCGTTTACTTTTGCAGAAAAAGCAGCTCGCAAAGGGCTGCCTAGTGCGGAGTTTGCAATGGGGTACTATACCGAAGTCGGAGTGGGTGGACAAAAAGACATCGAAGTTGCGAGGCAGTGGTACACGAAAGCTTCAGAACACGGGAATGCCGACGCTGTCGAACGGCTTGCAGCACTAAACCAACCTTCACCTCAAGCACTATCGCGACAGGAACACGACAACATTACAGAGAGCAAGCTCGTGCGTAAGCGTACTCAAGCGAAACAGCGTTCTGAGCGTACCGATGGTACAGGGTCAGCAAGGCCAAGTATGGAAGAAAGTAGACAGGTAGTTGATGTTATTCGAAAGAACTCGTTCGCTCGTCAACCTCACGGTCCTGGCCCTGCATCAGTCCACGCGTTGTCGCCAGTACCAGAACAGCGCCCTCAGATGGGCTACCCCTCTCAACCTGGACTTGGGCCCAGCCCAGGGTCTGCACCGCATCCCTCACTCGCACAGAACGCTAATGTAGTAAGCCCACGCATGCAAAATAATGGTCCGAGGCAATTCCCAAATCAACATCGATACACTCTTGTTGATCCCGGTTCCAGTTCGGCAGGCTCGCCTCCGAACTCGAGACCTCCGTCCCGTGTACATTCGCCCCATGGTCGACCTGCAGGACGTCCACCTGCCCAGAGAGTACCATCTGGGCCATCTCCTGGTGTGGTGGGAGGTCCGCCACAACCTGGGAATAGCCCTCACATGGGTCCTTCCCAGCCGATGGGTAGTCCCGCCCCTATGCCTAATGGCCCTGTGCCGATAGATCCGTCCGCAGTGAACAAGAACGCTCACAAGTCCCCGACGACATTTGCAGAGATGGGTATCCAGGGTGCAAAACTGGAAGAAAAGGAGTGCGTCATCATGTGAAAAATGATTACAATCGATCACTGCATAATTCAAGCTGCCATCTGCATGCCCTCTGATATATTTATCATCATTCAAGAAATTGTTCTACAATCCTTGTTATCTTTTTCCTTTAGCCATTTCTCATCGCTCCTTCCTCTATCTCCGACTCTCCTCTCTTCGCCTATGAGTTCAGGTTCTGCCTTCTCAACAGGTTTCCCTAAATTGGTACTTGTTATTCATTGGATCTTTCCTCGGTGTGGTGGACTCAGTCACGGACTTCAGTCTTTACGTCATACTAAAATGTGCCTCTGGTGTTTTTGCTCAGGATAAATCGGTTTTAATATTGTGAACGGCTTATTCAACAGTTTCCTCCTGCGCGTAGCGCATGATATATACAGTTCACGGAATGAAAATTGATTTTTTTCACGTAGAATACTGTTTTAGCGATTTTGCCAACCAGTTCTATCACAATATTACAAGTTCATTCCGCCCACTATAGCCACTTTGATAGGACACTGATACTTCACGTACTTGGCCACTATGTAAGAGGTTTCACCCCTCTCACATATACATCCTTATACAGACTTTTATTCTTCTTGGGTCCGTCCTGTGGAAAGAGCCATCCTTCTCGCGCTTTTTCCTCCTTCAGTGTCTTCATTAGTTCCAAAAAGTCTTGTACAGCTCCAGGAGATGTCTGGACGTGAGCCACTAGCCGCGATCCTCCTAGCTTGATTGGTTTTGACAATTGAGACGCACGCTGGACAATTTCCCAGTATTCAACCCCAATTGGAGCGGGATCAAAAAATAGCTAATGTAAAAAGACCGTCAATACACTGTATTCGCATAATACAGCGTGATTCTGACCATGCATGTTTCTGCGGGACTCAAAATTGCCACTCCTAATTCTTCTAGACCCTGCTGCAGACGCTTTGCCAAAGCATGAACGCGTGGTAGTAATGGGAAGTTCTGTGTCAGTGCGTATGCCGCCGCACCAGCCAAAACACCCGTTTGACGCATTCCACCACCGAAAAGTTTTCGGAACCACCGAGCCTTGGCAATAAAAGGACTGGATCCTACGAGGATCGTCCCAACGGGGGCACCTAAGGAAAACGTCAGAAGGTGTGATATGGAGAACAGTTACAAGATGATATACCTAACCCCTTGCTCAGGCATAGGCTGACAGAGTCGAAAGGGTCGCACAATTCTTTCACAGGTGTGCACGTCTCCGCTGCAACATGCCAGATTCGTGCACCGTCCAGATGCATTGCAATATTGTGACGATGAGCATAGTCTGCTATGGTAACAACATCATGTTGTGGTATGATTGTACCGTTTAAGGTGTTCTCAAGTGCAATGATGCGGGTGGGGGCACTATTACGAAGAGGAGTTGACTTGAGCAAGTCGGTGCAAAAATTCCAATGGTCTTACATATGCACGTCATCACCTGAGACTATGTGCGGCTCAATATCTTCAAGTGTCAGGTGGTGCTCTGGTTAGAAAGATTGGCTGAGTCATTGTAACAGATAATATAGCGAAACGATATATACCATTGGCAGGGGCAATTGTGATGCTCTGTGCGCCAGAATGAAATGCAGTACCTCCTGCCTCGTATCTACAACACCCATGCCATTTCAGCAGTCTCATAAAGATATAGTACACTATACCTATGAATATGTGATCTGACATCACAAATGACCGAGTAAGGTGGTTGTTTCAGATGAGTTCGTAGGGCTATTTGATTAGACATTGTCCCACTGGGGAGAAATAGTGCAGCTTCTTTGCCTGTAAGTCGTGCAATGTGATTCTCTAGAGCCGCCGTGGACGGTTCGTGATAAACATCGTCGCCAATAGAAGCGCGAGTCGCGTATGTGTACATATCCTTAGTAGGGACTTGGCATTGCTTCAGTCGGGATTAGAAGATATAGAAAAATCGAGGTACCTGTAATTGTGTCGGCTATAGAGTCGCACGAGTTAATAAGTTCATATCCTGACATGAAGTTTCAGCACACTCACACATGAAATTCCTAGAAATGTCTTCGAGCTGCTTCAGATTATCGGCTCCCTGTGTGGGTGTCAGGACAGTAATCTTTGCTATTTCATCTACTATCTTTGCTAGCCTCGCACTGGGTTCCGACTGGGCTGAGACGTTCGAGACGAACCGACGGGCAGGACATGGGGCCCCAATATATGGACCAGCTGACCGCAAAGACTGGGTTGGTGTAAGGCGTACGGCCCCCATCTGCTGTCGACACAATCCGAGTCCATAACGCAGCATGCTGGCAGACAATTGATCCTGCGTTTCCCTGCGTTTTTCTCCCAGAGCTCTGGGTATTTATCAGAACATTATCTAACACGTCCCGAGTGAACATGGTCACGGTATTTATAATACGGATGCCCGGGTCGCCTCTGGTCTCAACTGGGGGGTGATAATGGTATTACGTAAATAAGCACCTGCTACCAACGCTGCCAGCTTGCCTTTTCCCTTAGTCACAGTATAATTCAGCGCTCAGCACGTCTTTCGACATACCCACTGCGATCTCATTGGACTTACTTTCTATATTCTCATGGGAAACGTGAGCTTTGAATTACCGTCATGGATAACTCACTCACGGTCATGGCAGGGAGCTAAAGCCGCACAAAAACGCGAACGCAACAATGCCAAAAATGACCCCAAAGGATCAAAGAGTCAGGCTAAGGTCAATGAAGCAGCCAAGAATATCATCTGTCAGACGTGCAAGCAAACTTTTGTGCGTTAATACCTTCTCTACTGCCTTCCTCGATTATACTGACGATTAGATTTACTTCTTCAATAGCTGCTGACCACGCGTGCACCTGCGTAAGTAGACGCCTCTTGACTATAGCAACGAATCTGACGGATAGGATGAATGTGACTGATGATATGATTTCTGTGCACCGCAGATTAGAAGAACATGCGCAGAACAAACACTCTAAGACTATGTCCGAGTGCTTTCCTGGCGTTCCCAAGTAGACTATGAGGGAACAGCATTTGCCCCCGCATTCTGTAATTTCTCTCCTACTTTCTTGTTCACTTCAAAAAACCCCGCCACACATCTGTCAATGCACACACTTCCGCCCTTGTTGAGGCCACCCTCCGAATAGCGTGGACTGATACATTGGTTGTAACTGGCGACCAAGTCATATATGAGGATATTAACACGAATAAAAATGCGTCGACAGTATGATATGATGCGGTTAAACACATCAGTGATCATCTCAATCCTGTAAGAGAGTGAGGTTCGTAAGAGGTATAGAGTATAAGAAAATGAATGTATTCATTTATGGCCATGTCCATATGCTCATGTGTAACTCCCCTAGCTGGTATAGATGCTCCTCAACTAGACTTTTCAAAAAAAGAACGACAAATTATGCAGATTTGTAGTAGTTTTGTACAAGTCTGGGTGAGTATACTGTAACTTGGGTACACATCTCCAACCCAGGGCCTTAATATAGTACTTTTTTTTGAAATAAAATTACTGTACAAGAGGTACATGTATATGGAAGCTGTAGCTACTGCCTTCCATTCAATGCCTCCTTGGTGTTTTACCTCAAGCTTCTGATCTACCTTGATGTCCTCAACTTGTCAATTTCCCTAGGTTCCTCCTTGTTGGAACATTACGGCCTTCATCCCCAGTCAAAAATGACACAATTTGTATTGAATTAGATAGAATCTCACAGGGTTATGTAAGGGAATCTAATCTAACCAAAACAAATTCCCATGATTATTTGAGAGCAACATTTGATGAGCTTGACTTCAATTCTGATCATGCCAGTGCATCACAAAACACCAATGTGTTGTACATTCATGCAGTGGATGCATGACTGTGCTGTGTGTAAAAAATGGGAGAAAATACAGTTATGTTTCTGTTTCATTCATTTTCATTTATTGCATTGGTATGTTTTTGTTTCTCATTCATTTTATTTGTTTGGTGTTGTCTGGATTTACTGTTATTTGGTTTTATTTGTTTACACTCTTATAATTGTAATTAGTTGTAATTGTTACAACCAAAGTTTGAACACTGGCGTACAACTCAGACAAGCAAAGAGGAGAGTGGAGGAGTGGATAAACTCCTTAGGGTAGGACTGAGTTAGTCGTTGGTAAACAACAGGAGGACTCACTGAGGAGTCTCCTTGATCTATTGGGGTATTTATATAACTACAGGCTATTTGTACATGTGTACTATACAGTTTAATGAAGGTGGTGGCTGATGAGATCATAGGGCACAGCCCGTGTGACTAGCTCCACTGTGTGAGAGAGTTGTATCTAAAATAAGTCAAAGCAGTGTAGCACAAGAAAGTGGAGACACAAGTGGAGTTTGAAAGTAAGGAAAGTGTCGCATGGCACAAGAGTCTGAAAGAAAATTAAAGGGGAGACTGAAAGTTGAAAGTCCAAAATTGTGTATTGTAACAATAATTCAATGTCATTTGTTTTGATCCAAATATCTCACTATTTGTGAAGACTAAAACAATCTAACTACATCAAATGAAATAAAAAGTACTAATGCTGTTGTCAGATGCTAAAGGCATCTGGGGAGAGAACTAAGCATAGTCCTGATGTCCAAACACCTACATGTCATTCAACCCGCAGGGATCAACCAAGGGATTCAGAAGAAAGTGCTGAAGACTATAATGGAGTGAGTCCGCAGATCAGTCCGCAGAGTCCGCACTTTTGAGTCTAAACTGAGTGGATGCGTCACAGCAAGTTGCGGTCTTGCTGGAAAGGCGGTAAAACAAGTTGTGTGAACAATAATATGAGTGGAGGATGAATATAAAGCTGAGAATACGACAATGGGACGACCATTGAGATCCCCTATCCTCTACTCTCCTCCGTCCACTTTCCATTGAGTTAGGAACCAAGGTTCACGGAAGGGCCTAGTGCATGAGCTAAGCCAATTCCCCATCTTGTCCTCCGTACTTCATTACTCTGACACCTCACTCCATAGCTCCGCTACTCCGAAGAGGTCACAGTTCTGACATATACCATGAGGGTGGTTTGCACGTGTGTGGAGTGCTGAGTTAGCTCCTCGTCTGACGGGTCTGAGGTCCAAAAAGTTTGGACCCTATGTATCCGCAAACACAGACTCTAGGTGTTCACAAATATGAACTCTGTGGACTGTATGAAAGTGCTGACTGAAGTGCAGATGGAAGTATATGGAAGTGCTGTGTGCCAAGGCAACTGGGGAATAATTTGACTGAAAAGTGCAGATTGAGGGAGTCTAACTTGCGGATTGAATTTCCCATGGGTGTGGACTGTGTGAAAGTGCAGATTAACTTGTCCAAACTACTGCCTATGTGCATTGTTTCTGCGTAAGATTGTCTGCCGTGCTTGATGCAAACCCAACGAGTCCAAAGTGCAGATTATGCAATTTGAAAGATGTTGAAATGTGGATTGTGCTGATTGTATCCATTGGCAGTGTGGGTAGAGCAGGCTGTACAACAGATTGAGCATAGAATGTGTGGGCTGAATGACATATGATGAAGGAGTGGGTTGGATAGACATGGTATTGGGAGTAGATAAGTGATGGTAATGCAGACCCAGTGTCAGAACCATGGCCTTTTTGGAGTAACGAAGCTGCAGAGTGGGGTGTTAGAGTAACGGAGTACGGAGGACAAGATGGGGAATTGGCTTAGCTGGTGCACTAGGCCCATCCGTGGACCTTGGTCTCTAACTCAACGGAAAATGGGCAGAGGAGAGTAGAGGATGAAAAGGAAGTAGAGTAAATATCCTTTGGAGAAGGATCGGAAAAGACTTAGAAAGGGACTGGTAAAAAGGCAAGGGAATCTATTTGATATTCAAACTGCAGGAACGGAGTACAGGAGTTACAGTTTATATACTATTGAGTAGGAGCTCGTAAGGAGTAACCCGTAATGTAGGTACGGAGTTCCATGCGGATAATTATCTAGCAAGAGGAGAATGCATGTGCAACGAGTGTATCATAAGGTCTAACTACAGATTCTACAAGAAATACTAGAACGTGCAAGGAGAAATGTATGGTGGGTTAGAAGTCTGGTGCAGGAGTATCAAGGCGGATGACCAGAGTACCATGTGAAACTGGGGCATAGAGTAATGCCGACCGGCAGACCATGAGGAACATAATCCCGAGTATGCCAATGGTTTGGGGGCTTCAGACTCAGGGAGTATCTCCTTTGGAGATGCCGGAGTTCTGTCTTTTGGTACAGATATGACACCCAGCCACAATAATAACTCTACATCCTGATTAGATATGATCAGTTTAAGCTCAAAATAAATTTAGGATTACATTAGTTTTAAAACACACACCAAATGGCATCAAATTTCCAACAACAGTTGATGAGATTCAATATATATTTTGTCGATTCCAACTATGTTTCATCATCATACACTGACTGTGACATCATTACCTACATAAGAATACTCATAGAAATACTATAGATAGTATACAAGTACTACTACAAAACCTGTATTTATTAAGTTATTCCCATTATGTCTTAGTCACAACCAACTTCACATATTCTTGATTTTCAACACTCCTCTACAACCATGTTTGGTTGGACTCTGCATCACCCTTATTGCTATCCTGGGTAGTGGCCTTGCCTTGACAGGGAAGGCAGATTCTAATCATTACAGTTGTCATGTCCCTGCAGAATAGGAGGATAATTTCATCCACAATGGTAAACTCAGTATATGATCATGTCAGATGGCTATCCTTATCAACAAATTGGATTGTATGAAGGCTTTGAAGCAACAATCCTACTGCCAAACCTATCAAAGCTATAGCAGTGTGGCCCATAATACCCATGAGACCATCCCAGGACCCCAGGCAATATAGAGAAGGCTGCATGTGGAGCCACCTCAACAGGTTTTGGGTTCCATTCATTGCCTTGGTAAATGTGGAAGTATGGTGGGTGTACCCCAATGATGGCCATGATAGCCAATAGTCCAACCAGTCCTCTGGTGGGCCATGCCCTCACTAAAACTACTGGTACTTTGAAAAATATGCAAAAAGTATAGTAATAAAACCCTGGTCTAAAGAGTTATTAAGGGGGTGGTCTGCTTATTAGGCTATTAACCCTTATCCAACTGGCAAAAGCAAGTGCCCAGCCCAGTGTCAATGATGAGAACTGTTGTTAGACAACCACACATAAAAACAAACTAACAAATAATCCTCCCAGATTCACAAAACTTGTATATGAGCTTTGCCTCTTAGAACAGTGGAGTGGTCTGGTTGTTTGTGGGGTGGTATGAATAATGATCCTTCAAAGTAAAACCCAGAGATGTATGGGTGTGGGTTTTGAGGAGGAGGGATAGTTGAAATGCAGAAAGATAGAGGCTTTGTGGCGAGTATAGACGAGCACTACCTTGCTAATTGTAGCATAAGGTAGGTTTGAGAATGACAAGGTGACGAGGTTCCTAGCGATAGCAGGCTCCTGACGCACAGACTGTAGTGCTGAGAAGGACTCTAATCAAAAGGGATAACAATAACTTCAGAAGTGTAGAGTGACAATGATAGCAATTAATAGTAGAAGCAGTGGGAAGTGTTGTGACCACACTGGATCACAAGTAGCAATAGAAAGTGGACTTGAGATTAGAGGACAAGACTGGATTGGAAGTCTGGATTATGATTTTTTCTTTTTTTTTACAAGGTAAAATACAGGTGTTTATATAGTAAAAAAAGGGAGGCTATGCACAGTATAGTTGTGCAAAAAGAATGAGAAAGAATGTGAAGGAAGGAATATACGCTGACAAATCCTGTGTAAGTAGTACAGGATAAGATTGTCAAAATAAGGAAAAGAAAGGGAAATAAATGCTGTATACTGTGTAATGTCACAGGTTTGTACAGCCATAAAATAAAGTCCAATAGTAATAAAAAAACAAGAAAATCATGATGTCATGGGAAGATGCAGTAAACAAAGCAAGGTAAAAAAATATCAGTATCAACACAGTTTCCTTGTTGTCAGTCAGGCATTCTAAAAAAATGTATCCATAAAATGATTCAATAATCAAGAATAATTGCACTGCAAATGAGTGTTCTGCTGAAAAAAAAAAGAACTGGTGTTACAATAACACATTTTTGGATCTTTAATTTTTATTCTCCTCTTTAACCTTTTTCAGTAGTTTTCACACTCCGTGCCATGCAGCACTTTCCCTTTTGTTCAAACTCCACTTTCTCGCGCTACACTGCCTTTCTTTCTATTTTAGATACAAGTCTCTCACACAGTGGAGCTGGTCATGCGGGCTGTGCCCTCTGACATCATCAGCCACTGCCTTCATCAACTGTATAGTACATATGTACAAACAAACCTGTAATAGTATATAAACCCCA